TGCAACTGATACGTGTAATTGGAGATTCTATGAGAATGAGATGAAGTAGACATAATGTCTTACTTCAATAGGTAGAAAAAGGAAGGTTAGCTTGAACTTCATTATCTTTTTAGGGTGTGTTTGGTACCCATTAAAATTTTCATTCTCATTCTTCTACTCATTTTCAACCACACATTCCTCATTAAAATAATATTTTTCATCACATCAATAATTTTTCATTCTTTTTCAACCACACATTCTCCATCAATCTATTATTACATAATACATTCTTCCAAAATAGAGTAATGTTATTCATCCCCACTAAGGATGGAAACACAGTCTACGTGGCGTTAATATGGCATTAAATGATAGGTGAAATTAAATAAGTCATTTAATTTTACATTTCATTTAATCTATCATTTAAAACCATATAGACTGTGTTTTCATTCTCACCGGGGATGAATAACATTACTCTCCAAAATAATGTGGCTCAAACACACCCTAAAATTATGATCTAAATTCTAGTGTGCCAATCATCTCGAATAAACGAATTTTCTCTAAAATTTCCAAGATTTTCCACCTGAAAAAAGTAGAAGAAAAATTTGTAAATAATCTCTTACATCAAAATATGTTATAAAACTCGTACATTTAACTTATATAGAATTCAAATTTTGCATACTTGAATATTTATTCCATTGGAAACTTAAATGCTTAGATGATCGACTGGACTTGTACCATCTAATAAATTAGAAAAATTCTATTTGTAGACTACAATAATCGTCCTAGGTAACATCTTATTATTTTAGAGATTAATTTTCTGCGTTTGTTACCTCAAAAAAAAGTTAATATCTCAACAACAAATGAACATATTGAATGATTACTGTAGTCGTCAATTATAAATAACATTATTCAATAAATTAATACAACATTCTTTTTTATTGTAATTGAGCATGACAATTATAATCGTAAATTTTTAAAATTTTTTTTCATAGTATCAATTATTTTCAAATTTCCACTTATTTTCCTCGTATTAATGACACGCTTTAATTTTAATTGTTTCCAATGCTAACCTTTTATTTATTTATTATTACTGTATTTTCTAATATGGGAGCAAGTGAAGGAGAAAACGAAACAAGAAACAAATGCTTCTCGATTAATTCACCATGTTGTTTACTCGTGCTCGTGTATAGGAAATATATATACTAGTAACTATAATTTGATTATAATTTAAAGAAGGGAAGATTATATATTTAAGAGAATAAGTTTAGCTTAGTTCAAAAATAAGAAAACAAATTTGAAATTACCAAAATTAGATTTTTATTAGAATTTTTAAAATTTTTATTTATGAAATAATAAATTATTAAATTAATTTATTATTAAATATTTAATTCTAATATAATATAATTAATCCATCCCACCTTCACCATCTCTACCGCTCCGGCGACCA